TAAAACAGTTGCCGAGGCCAAATAAAGGATGAAGACTAGGGCACAGGCATTGGAAATGCAAGCTAATTAACCAGGATCACAAAAAGCCTTGCCAATATAGATTTAGAGCTCACAGCTTGCCAAGTCAAATATAACGACACATTGTTTTTTAACTTTAACTAAACCTTCAAAATTTTGAAATGCCTAAATTGACTCTGGTGGTTTATAGAATTTACTGGGGCAAGAGGGAAAAGATGGAAGAAAACTGGTCTAGATCCTCCTTGTTCTCTATTTAATACAATCCAGTGTGCAGACTCTGCTTCCTCCATTGTGAACCTAGCTTGCCATTTTTGTTTGTTATTTTCCTGAACCATGGGGCTCAGCTCGGATCAACTGATTGAAGTAGAGGGCTAGCTAGGTAATCACACTGGGGTGTTCATCGTTGACAACATTTCTGGAGATGCTTCAAGTGCTCAAGTGAGCCAACAGCACATGCTATGGTTTGTTTGTCCCCAGTAAAACTCAAATTGAAATTAGATTCCCAAGGTGGTGGTATAGGGAGGTGGGGCCTAATGGGAGGTGTTTGGGTCCAGAGGACTCTGCCCTCATGGGCGGCTTGGTGCTGGTCTGTGTTCTGCTGTAGTGAGTGAGTTCTCACTCTGGTGAGACTGGATTCATTCTCATGGGCATGGATGAGTCCCCATGAGAGTGGGTTTTTATAAAACCAGGTCACCCTTGGGTTGTGCCTCTTAGCACGTGTCTACTTCCCCTTTGACCTTCCACGATGTTGTGATGCAGCAGGAACATCCTCACCAGAAGCCAAGCAGGTGTTGGTGCCAGCTGTTTATACTTCTCAGGCTGCAGAACTATGTGCTAAATACACCTCTTTTCTTTAGAAAGTACCCAGTCTCAGGTATTCTGTTAAGGCAACACAAAGCTTACTACGACAGCATCCCATGTACACAGAAGACCCAATAGCTCTGCAGGATGTGTAATTCCTGGTACCTAACAGAAAAGCTTCGAACAGAAGCTCCAAGTGAAAAAGGGGTGCACACTAGGTAGTCGATGTTACAGTGGGTCTCTTGCATCAGTATACCTGCTAAGAAAGGAATTAGCCAAGAAGTCCCTCACCTACTCAGGATCATATGTGACTTCCAGGTCCTCACCTCTAAGAAATATCTCTCTTGGAATTTGCACTGAATTTATTTTATCTCAACATTTCTGGCATACTATATCTATTAATCCTTCTCATTCTGCAGTCTCTTTCCCCTTCTTGCTCATTTATTCATTCATTTGTTTCTTCAATAAGCAATCCACAAACGTTTATTGAGTGTTAAATAGGGAACAGATACTGTGCTTTTCATACTTGAAATAGATGATGATACTGTACATTGTCAAAAGCTATGACGGTGTGATAAAGGATCAACAGTGAATGGTTGTCCATTCACTCCATTGGCTTGGACCTAATACATGGAAATTGACCAGGGACAACCTTTTCACCTTACTTATACCTAATATATATTCATTAAACATAATTTATAAACTAATCTAGGTGGGTGCCTGTGATTGTTCATTGGTAGAAATAGATTCTGGTAGAAATATATTCTCAATATCTCTCTCTCTCTCTCTCTCTCTCTCTCTCCTCTCTCTTCTCTCTCAACTGTCTTGATTTTCCCTGTGAATTTGATCAGAAAAAAAAAAGACCAGCAAGCACTGCTGCAGTGGAAACAAGTATCAAATTATGAGAGCAAGGGGCTTCATATTTAGTAAATCCTAACATGTTGACCCTGGATGTGTTTGGTGCACATGCTGGCTCTGCTGCTTCTGCTCATCTGGCTATACCACATCAGGTACCCTAACATGCTGGTCCTCATGAGATATTGTGCCCATCATTGGATGCAGTCAGCTCACAGGTAGGTACTACCTGTGGTTACTCATAAGATATTGTGACTAAATTTGAACCTTTGACTCAAAATTTACACACACACACCATAAATGGATTTAAGGTATTTTATTTCATCTAGCAAAAAAAAAAAAAAAAAAGCATTTAAGATCCCTTATGGCCGGGTTTGGTGGCCCAGCCTATAATCCTGTGCTTTGGGAGGCCGAGGTGAGCGAATTGCCTGAGCCCACAGATTCGAGACCCACCTGGGCAACTTGGCGAGACTGCATCTCTACAATAAATAAAAAAAAATTAGCCAGGTGTGGTAGCACGCGCCTGTAGTTCCAGCAACTTGGAAGGCTGAGGCGGAAAGATTGGTGGAGCCCAGCAGGTTGAGGCTGCAGTGGCCGGAAGTGTGCCACTGCACTACAGTGTGGGCGACAGAGTGAGACTCCAACTCAAAAAAAAAAAAAAAGGTCCCTTATGGTGGAATTTCAGGCAGGGAGGGAGGGCCATTTATAGCAGGTGGCCCTTCTCAATCCTCCCTACATGTACTCCATCCCAAAGGTCTATTACCTTCTCTGTTCAGTGTAGGCTAAACATAGAGCCTGGTGATAAGATTGTTGTCTTTCTAGATAAGATTGAATTTAAGAGATTTCATATATGTTTGTCATATCTGAGACTTTTAAAAAAATGCTTCCAATTTAAATATAATTATATATACTTTTCCTTTTTGTTTTTCCTTTTATGATGTTAAGATAAATTTGATCCCCATTTTGCCTTTCATTTTTGAGAAACACATCAAAATATGTGACCCATCAAACATTTAGTGAAATGTCAGATGATCTTTTCAATAAAAAGGGGGTTCTGAGTGCTAAAATTCAGGAAGCTAACTTGCCAAATTTAAGCATATTGTGACCTCAAAAATCTTAGGATTGCTTCAGAATGTAAAATTAATAAATACAAGATGGACCTATAGTTTAGAAAAACATATCCTTCTTCCCTTTCTTTTTTCTCTTACTACTATTTTATGAGAAAACAACGTAAATGTTATAGAACAAAATGGACCTTTTGCCTTTAAAGGTTTTTGTTCTGTTTGTTTAGTTTGTCATTTAGAATAGTTTAAAGCAGTGTTTCTCAGAGTGTGTTCCATGGAACACAAGACCCTCAAAAGGTACTTCACCAAAAAAGCTTTCTTGTCAACTAAATGTGGAAAGTACGCTAAAGTGTTTCCTCTCTGGGAGACTCCCAATGTGTGTCACCATCTGGAGGCTATGACAAAATGGAGAGTAGTAAAAGAAGATTTTTAACTTTATGTAAACCAGCATTGCCTGCTCTGCAAGTGAATCTATTAATATCCATGGATTGCATTTTGGGGGAATACTACATTTTTCATAGTTACTTAACCCTTGAATGTGTCTCCTCTTCAATGAATAGAGGCATCATAATGTAGTCATTAGATATATGGACTTTGAACTCAGAGAACCTGGATTCAGACCCCAATTCTGCTATTCTGCCAGTTGTGTGACCTTGAGCAATGACTTAATCTCTTTAAATGTCAGTTTTCCTATGTCTACAATGGGTAGCATTATAGTACCAGTCTCACAGCATTATTGGGAAGATTTAAATGACTTCTATGAAGTACTTAGTGTAGTGTAGTGGCATATAGAAAGTTCTTAAAATGTTTATAATTATGTTTGTACTGCTATTATTAGAGATGGTTTGGGTATCTATATCTAAGCTACCCATAAATATGGAGGTATGTAATTTTCCCTCCTAGAAGCAACAAAATAGAGGTGCATTGATAATGGATCTCCCAACAGGCCAATTTTCCCATCTGGAATCTGCTCCAAACCTCCTCTACCACATGAAAGTCTACAGAAGTCAATCTCACTTGGAGGTTGTTAGGTCACAATCCCGGCAGGGGCCTCTAAGATGTTATATTAGAACCGCTGGGGTGTGTCTGCGATCCAGTGCCATGCAAAGGATGCAAATAATTGCACAGATGTTAGATTGGAAAATATAGTTTATTTAGAAAGTAAATTAGAGAGAAAGAGAGGAGATTCTCTTCCCTAAGGTAGGAGAGGGGGCCAAACCTAGAAAACACGGCGGCCATAGCTTAAAAAACCACGTGGCTGCACCAGAGTATACCAAAGCGATGGCAAATGGCTGCTTGAATATGAATGGTTTTAAATCTTCTCTTTGATGAGAGGCAGGTGGTTAAGATGATTGGGTGGTGGTCTGTTCTACATCATTATGTAGGGCAGGTAAGCACAGGTACTGATGTCACCATGTTGGACGGCAGGCACATGGATGAGTTAGTCACATGACTGCTGCCGTGTTGATGGGGTCTGTGTCATGAAGGTCACAAGGAGCTGGTTAGGTTAACTTGTTTACAAAACAAGCTGAGGAAGGGTTGTAAGACAGTTATCAATAGCTACCTCTAAGAAACTGGTTCTGCCCTTGATTAGAGGGTAAATTAAAGTGAACTTCTAGAAAAAACATGACAGAGCTAAGCAATGCTAAAATGACTTTACCTTGGCTACAATGACTCCATCTTATGTCCTTTCAGAGACGAACTGCAGACAAGCAGGGCATCTTCCTTGCCCTTCTGTCCTTTCACACACCTTTCCCCCTCTTGCTCACCCTCTTTTCTTCTGGTGCTTTCCAGCCCACTACAGTTTTGGCCAATTTCTTTCTGTTCCCCTTCTCTCTTTCATCCGGAATCAATATCCCTGGTTTAGGGCCACCTGGCTGTGCTTTCTTCATCCACCTAGTCAACAGATGTCCACTGAGTACCTGAGTGGTCCCTAGATCTAGGCATCACTCGGAGCACCCAGTTCCAGGATGGGACTTCTCCACAGGGCAGAATCTGAATGTTTACATAAGATGAGGGAGAAGAATGAAAAACAGACATTTAGCTTCTTTGGCAAGCTACCCGAAGAAACGGCAGATATCCAAGAAGCGCTTTAGTTAGGAGAGCAAGATTGGGGAACACAACAGGAAGAAGCCATAGACTTAGCACAAAGGTTGCGATTTTCTGGTGAAAGCACACCTCACCCAAACACTTCCTCCCTGAAAGCTGCTGACAGGGCTTTGGCAAGGGATCATCCTCCCGTTGGCTGATAAGCTGAGCCCTGTTTTATATTTAACTCGCTCCAGTGCAGGAGGGGCAGGGGTGGGGATGCGTCGTTTAAAAGGGGAGCTGTGACAGCCCTCTTCCTCCCACTCAGCTCTTCTCCTGGAGTCCTCAGCCCACCCCGCTGGCTCCTCATTCGCCCTGGAGGCACTGGTGGGAACGCAGGGGAGAGAAGGCACGAACTAGAGACGCTAGGGAGAGGTGTGGGGAAAACGAAAACAGGCTGCCAAATCCGGGGATTCCTTCCAATTTAAAAAGGAAGTCTGTTGACGCTGGGTAGTTAAATTTAACATCCTTTTATGTGCAACATTAGACTTGGGAAACAAACATGAACTTTGCAGAGGGAGAGGGCTCCAAGAGATACTGCATCAAGACCAAGCATGTGGCCATTATCTGTGCGGTGGTGGTGGGCGTGGGATTAATAGTAGGACTTTCTGTGGGCTTGACCAGATCGTGTGACTCCACCGGGGACGCCGGGCAGGGCACAGCCTCGACGCCTTCCACGCTCTCTTCCACCCCCAGCCCTTCGGATCTGCCTCCCCAGGACCCGGGCATCTGCCCTGCCAGTGAGGATGAAAGTGGCCAGTGGACAAACTTCCGGCTGCCGGACTTCATCAACCCGGTGCACTACGATCTGCACGTGAAGCCCCTAATGGAGGAGGACACGTACACCGGCAGAGTGAGCATCTCCATCAATGTGAGCGCGCCCACCCGGCACCTGTGGCTACACCTGCGCGAGACCAGGCTCACCAAGCAGCCGGAGCTCACCAGGTCCTCCGGGGAGCAGGTGCCGGTCGTCAGGTGCTTCGAGTACAAAAAGCAGGAGTATGTGGTGGTCGAGGCCGGAGAAGAACTTACTCCCAGTACTAGTGCCGGTTTCTACCTGCTGACCATGGAGTTTGCCGGCTGGCTGAACGGCTCCCTCGTGGGCTTCTACAGAACCACGTACACGGAGAACGGACAAGTCAAGTAAATATTTAATTTTTTACTTTGCCTTCCTTAAGCTTGCATATCTGCTTTCTGTTTCTTTCCCTGACCTTTTCACTCTCCACCTCTTAATTATTTTGTTGGTCTGATCTTTATCTGCCCTTGGTTTCAATCCTGCCTGTGCATCTGGGAAGCAAAAACTGTTGCCCTGTTATATTTTCAAAGCCTGTCACAAAACTTAGAAGTAGTGTATGAGCTTCGCGGAGTAAAAAATCAGTGTAAATGTTTTAGTCTGTCGGGAGAAATCAAAGTAAACTGCATCCCATCCTTAATATTTGCATAAATTAGCTTAGATTCTAAAACACATGAACTTGGTAAATTTCACCAATGATATTCTTGGGCTTTATGGCAGTGATTTTAAGCTAAGCTTTTAAAGTGAGATTATACTAAATTTCAGTGAAAAAACTGTGAATGTCACTTATTATTTTGTCCATTTTAATGGAGAAGAGAGATACTGAAAAGTTACATGCGATCCACAGAAGTGTCTTTTGTGTCTTCATTTGGGAACGAGGCAGGACTATGTCTTTTTTGTCTCACATGATCAGAACCAAGTTTTACACATAGGCTTTCAGGAAATGAGTTCACGCATCAGTGGCAGCACATGGATAAATTTGGGGGCTTGTTACCTATCCTACAATATGCAATGGTACTGCTAAGTGTTTCTTTGCAACATAAAAGATACATTAAGTAACTATGTACCCACAAATATTTTTCCTTTTCTCAGTCCTCTAAGCAGAGATGTGTATATCTGTAGCTATCTATTTATGTAAATAGATATGCATTCATTCTATTTACCCATCTATCTAGTGTTTGTATCTATCAGTGGCTATTACCAGAGCTATGTTAAAGGCATAAACTCTCTCACTGAACTCCAAATAACTTCACACTGTGGATGTAACTCTTGCGTTGGGGAGGAAGGCTAGACTATACCTGAGGTGTCATTGGATTTGAAACTGCTTTGACCTTTGCCTCCTTGATTCTGAAGGGGTAAATGATTAAGGAAGTTTCGTGTCACAGTTCCAAAATGAGAGTCTGGGGCCAGTCCACACACTGAATATTTTTGTTTTCTATTGTTTTAAGCATCTTACAGAGCAAACCAAATCTCTTGGTCAAAATTATTTCTATTATTTGTCTGAGAGGCCCACAGACCAAAACAAAAGCAAAAACAAAAACAAAAACAAAAACATTTAAATATCCCTGTATTACTGTGTGGTAGGTGCACTGATAAATTGAATAGTTTCAAGAAAATATTTGGAGGGGTAATACTTATATAACTCCTATAGTTTAATATTGCCAGCAATAAAACAAGCTTTTTATTGTTTACATATTTTTTCTGTTCATAAAAATTACATTGTTGAAAGCATAAAAATTATTTAAAAAGAAAAACCAAAAGAATCTATAAATAATTTCACCATCCAGTGGTAATTCTTGTCAATATGTTAATGTATATTTTAAGTATTTAGGTAATCAAAATTGTAATTGCATTATGTCTGCCTATCTATGTATTTATGTATGTGTCTTTTATACTATTAAGTATATGTTATGAGCATTTTCCCTCATTTTTAAATATTTTCAAGAGTCTAATTTTAAAGATTGTGCAACATTCCACTGTATGAACACACTGTACTTTTAAAAAATCAATTCTCTGTTGTTTGCCATTTGAGTTGCTTTCAGTATTTTATTATCATATTTTCCTAAACAAGTGAGGAAAGTTCATAGTTGTAAATACATCTTTATGCATTTATCTGTTTATTTCTTTAAGTTAGAATATAGTCCTAAAAATAGAATTGCTGGGTTAGAGAGTACAAATATATCAAGGAACTTGTAACATAAATAATGCACATTTATTGTGAAAAACAAGGAGAATTATATTTTTAAAAAGTCATTAATAAATTTATTACCCAAATAGAGCCATTGTTAACATTCAGGCAGAGATTCTTAGTATTTTGTCTGAGCATAGGTAAATGTGGCATTATTATATTGTATGTAGTATGTTTTTTCAATATAGCATCAACACTTTACCATGACTTGGTATTCTTCACACATGGTTTGATGGATGTGTGGTAGGCCATTGTATGACTACAATGTATTCAACTTTTCCAGTGTGAGTATTGAAGTTGCTCCTATTTTTTCACCTATAAGTACCTAGAAGAATGCAAGAACATTGTCTTTTTTTTTTTTTTTCTTTTAGTCAGAGTCTCACTCTGTTGCCCAGGCTGGAGTGCCACGGCACACTCATGGCCACCCTAGCATTGACCTGCTGTGCTGCGGCAATCCCGCCTCAGCCTTCCAAGTAGCTGGAACTACAGGCACGTGCTACCATGCCCAGCTAATTTTTTAAAAAATTTATTATAGAGACAAGGTCTTGTCAAGTTCCCCAGGCTGGTCTCCAACCCATGGGCTCAGGCAATCCACTCACCTCGGCCTCCCAAAGTACTGGGATTACAGGCTGATCCACCGAGCCCAGCCAGGAAACATTCTCATAAATAACTATTTATGAACATTTTTTAATATTTCTATAAGAAAATTTCTAGGAGGTTGGCCAAAATGACATGTGTAAATTCATGTATGTATTTTACACATAGTATTGTGTGTGTGTGTGTGTGTGTATACATATACATGCATTAATGTGTGTATGTCTCTAAACTGACTTTCTTTTTAGAGAGTTGGAGTTTCATTCTGTCACCCAGGCTGGAGTGTGGTGACACACCCATAGCCACCTCAGCCTCCATCTGCTGGGCTCAGGCAATCCTTCCACCTCAGCCTTCCAGGTAGCTGGAACTCCTTACTTGTGCCACTGTGCCTGGCTAATTTTTCTGATTTATTGTAGAGATGAGTTCTGGCAAAGTTGCACGGGCTGGTCCTGAGCCCCTGGGCTCAGGCAATCCTCTTGTCTTGGCCTCCCCAAGTGCTGGGATTATAGATGTGAGCTACCGTGCCTGGCCTAAACTGACTTTCAAAAAGCATGTCCCAGGTTCCACTTTCACCAACAAAATATGAAAATATCTACTGTACTGAGCCTTAATAACAATATAATGGATTTTTATAGTGTTCACCAATTTGGTAGAGAAAAAGGCATAATATTTTGAAGAATAAAGAGATTCATTAGTGTAAAGTAAAAGCGAGTCAAAACCTTTCAATTATTTTTGCTAAAACTTTAAGACTTCTTCCTAGATTGTAAAGACAATAGAAATTTCATCTGAGTAAAGACATTAAATTTATAAATTTATATTTATAAAATAAAGTTTTATGTACAACAGGAAGGTTTAAATATATGGAACTTTGTAATTGCCATTTAAAAAATTTCTGTTTAGACTTTATATGTCTATAAAAAAAGCATTATATGCTCAAATATAGAATATTTGCTCTGACTCATTGGTTATTTTACTATACTAGTTAATTTTACCATAAAACATGTACTTGAGAGCTGCCATTCTGAAAGTCCAATGACTTAATAATTTTTTGATTGGCAAATGCTAAATGACAGCAAGATTGGTAAGGAAGGCCGATCTTGGTTGGGTTCTCACTGAGGGTTGGTATCCTGAGCTTGTCTGTTTTCATTGGGAACAGTTGAAACTCTCACATTACACGAGGCTGCCTGTTCTGAACTGTTTTGGAACAGATCTGGCATCTGCTCAATAACCTCATTAAGCCTAAATGGAATACTTTTTGCTTTTTTTTTTTTTTTGAATTATTTCAAGCACATGAGAAAAGTGCATTCTGTATTTTTTCAAGCCTGTGAGTAACGTTTTGACAATGCAGTCTCCAGAAGTTCTCATGCACAGAGTCCTTTTAAGTGAGTTCACTGGGGCAGCCCCATTCTTTTATAGGGAGCTTCATTGTATATGACACTCATACAATTTTAAGTATCATCCTAGTAATACATTTGAAGTATGCGATCCAAATTATAGTTTCTGATTTTTCTTCCTTAATGTGAAACTTGACTCCAGGATGGAGTATTAGCAGTTTGGGATATTAATGTAGTCACGTCACCACAAACTGAGTGATTACACTCAGTAGTAACCAAAATTACTTGATTTCTGCAAATACAATCAGGACTTTGAATGTGACAAAGAAGAGACTATCCAAGATTTCTTCCCTCAAGATTGAGAGGCAGAGGTAGAGGCAGAGAAGAAAGTGGAACCAATTTATAGTTCCTTAGCAATAATAACCACATTGTCTGGCTGGGGACAGAGTTATAGTCAGGTTTGGCAGGAGAAAGTCTGAGAAATGTCAAGATCACTTTTCTTTTATTGATCTACGCTTCCTATTCTCTATTACTTAAATTCTGAGGAAAACCACTCAGTAGGATTAGCACCTTTGGAATGTTTCCCTGTCTGTATCTTCCTTCTTCCCACTCTTTCTCATTGTGTTATGTAGGATTTGCAGTTATTCTCTTCCCAGAAATAGTTCCCCTCTACTCGGAACTCCAAAGTGTTCAAGGTTCAACATTTCCTTCCTAGTACATGAATTGTGCCTATTCAGCATTTCTCAAAGTATGTTCCACAGAGTTCTAATTACATAGTGATCTTTTATTTTATTTTTTATTTTTATTTTTGGGTCGAAGTCTCTGTGTCCAGGCTGGAGTGCGGTGGCATACTCACGGTCACAGCAGCCTCATCCTGCTGTGATCCTTCTGCCCGAGCCTTTTAAGTAACTGGGACTACAGGTGTGTACCACCACACCCAGCTAATTTTTTGATTTATTGTGGAGATGAGGTCTCGCCAAGTTGCCCAGACTAGTCTCAAACCTGTGGGCTCAGGCAGACATCTCACCTTGGCCCCTAAAGTACTGGGATTATAGGCATGAGCCACTGCGCCAGGCCTTTTTACTTTTTTTTTCTTTTAAGATGTGGGGTACACCCTGAACATTTGCCATAATACTATAAGAAAGGTATTGGCAGTAGTCGGAGGAGGAGCACATAACCTCAATAAGGGTACCTGATCTCAAACCAGGCAAAATGGGGACCAAAGGGAAGCCCA